TCTATCACATTCTAATGTGTACTAATTCTCTTTTGAGCTATATTTAAGATCATCTGTTTTATCCAACATCTTTTTTTGTCCTGAATGAAAAGGTGGGTTCAAGTAATATAGATCATCATTACTGAGATTGAAAGTTTTCTATTATATCTTTTAGTATGTTTCTTGATTTGCTATTTGGTTTATTCTGTTCAGGGACACAAGTTTTGTATAGTGCAAAATTTTTCATCTGTCTTACATGTGTCCTTTGTCCATTTTTCTCTAATCCTTTCTACTTAAGTTCATTTCTATTTAATTTTGTTTACTTTTCACTACTTTTTTGTCCCTCACAGTGTTTATTTACCTTTTAGCTTCTTCCAGTTTTGACTTAATATTTTCTATTTTATCTCCTTTTTTGTTTTGTTTTGTTTTGTTTTACTCTACCAGGTTATATTTTAGCTCCTTATGTTTTCTTATCGTGTCCTTTTTGAGTACTTTTAGTTTTGTCTAATGCCTCAATTTATAGAGGTAATTGTTTCATTGAGATTTTTAACTTCACACCAATATTTTTGGGCCACAATTTTGACTTGTTCCATTGCAAGTTTTTGGTGTTTCTCCTCTCTAATTTTGTTTTTTCATTTCTCTTTTTTTTAATGGTAAATTTAAAAAGTAGATTCTGTTCTTATTCCTTTTTTTATTAATACTCTTCTTTGATTAGATGAGTTCTTATTGGCTCAAGTACTTAAGAGAAGTTCCTGTAAGAGTTTGAGTACAGGACTGCATTTCAGGGTAACAATATATCTTAATGGCACATTGTTGTATTCAGGGATGAATTCTTTTCTTTACCTAACTCCTTTTTCCCATTCCTGGCTCTCCCAGGGAGGCAGTTGAAATGGTAAGACTGATGTCAGATACCTCACAAGCAGACTTCTTTCTACTAAATTTTTTATCTGTGATTCTACAATAGTTATTTTCTTTCAAGCTTCTGATACATTGTATTATGCAAAATGTATCCTTTTACCAGCTTGTGAACCTCATTCTGTAATTACAAATAAGACATTGTTGATATACTATAGGTACGCTTTCTACTTGGAAGAAATTTGTGCTGGTACTCTTTCCTAAAATCTTCAACAAAAAGCATTTTCTTTCTACATTTGTCCAACACTTGATAGAACTTCAGGGCTTTGGCACTCTTTCATTTTAACTTACGTTTTGAAGTTTCAGATGTCAGTTAGATTCATGGAAGATGTCTGTGTTTCCATTTCTCATTCTTCATTATGATCTTGAGGATTTCCAAGAGAATGTCAAGTGCACCAATGGCACAGTGCTACTTAATACCAGAAATCAGTCTTCCCTCTTTAATACAAATGGTATTTATTTAATAAAAGTTTCCAATGAAAAATAATAACTACCAAAAAAGAAGAAAATGGAAGCCACGGAATGTACACTTAATTCAGGAAACAATATATCAAAAATGCTTATTAATATGCATAAAGATATGAATAAAATTTTTTATGCATGAGATAAAAGTAAGATATTAAGAAAAATGGGTACTCAGAGAACCAAAAGAAATCTTTGACATTAAAATCTAATATTTACGTTAAAAGTTAAATATGAGCTAGAGGTAAAGTTGAGGAAATTTCCTAGAAACATGGCAAGTCAACAGGATATAAAATATGAGACAACATAAATGTCTCATAAGATCAATTCAGAAGGCCCAACACCTTACTAATAGTTATGAAAAGAGGACAAAGAACACAGAGAAAAGGAAATTACAAAAAACTAATGTAAGAAAACTTCCTTTAACTGAAGGATATGTATCTCTAAATTGAAAATGCCCCTCAAATGGTCAACACAATAAATGATTTAAAAAGGGCGGGGGCACCTGGGTAGCTCAGTTGTTAAGTGTCTGACTTTGGCTCAGGTCATGATCCCAGGGTCCTGGGATTGAGTCCCACATCGGGCCCTCTGCTAAGTAGTGAGCCTGCTTCTCCCTCTCCCACTTCCCCTGCTCATGTTCCCTCTCTCGTTATATCTCTCTGTCAAATAAATAAATAAAATCTTAAAAAAGAAAAAGACTCACATTGTAAACTAATGTGGAATGAGGAAAACCATAGGCTTACTATATACCAACCAATGAGAATCAGGATTTTAAAGAATTGACATTGGCTGATACAAAGCAATGAAATATATGTTTAAAATTCTGAGGATAAATGAATTTTAACTTAGAATTTTATACTCAGTCTAAATATGAAGAAACTATATTGCAGAATAAAAATATTTAAGGGCTTAGGTTACTTATTTTCTATTCACCCTTTATATGGAAATGTTTGGAGGATGCAGAAATAAGGGATTAATTAAGATAGAAGAACACATAGGATCTAGAAAACATAGTATTCAACTCCAGGGATCAGCTAAGAAAAGGCTTTGGAGGACAGGTCTTCAGGCTTACAGTATGACCATTTTTGATCATGGCAGGATGCTGGAGGACTCCAGGAGTAAAACTGAGAATGCACAATATGAATGCCTGACATATTCCCCAAGAGAAGCCCACCATAATTTTCTATTGTAATATACATGGGACAGTAATTGCCCCTCCTGCTGTGGAGATGTCAACTTTTTAAAAAAGAACCTGCATTTTTCAGTAGCATTGAAAATGTCAGGCTAGAAGTGGAATGCAGGTATCAGACTGAAAGCCTATGGCCTCTGACACCAATAATATGAATTTTAAAAGAGATGCCTATGTTTTTAGGCAAGAGTTAGTTCAGAAGTTTTGAGCAATGGAATTGCTTTGATATGTTCTCCTCTGGTTTTAGGTAATATTCCAGACGCAATATGGTGTAATGGTTAAGAGTGTGGAGTCTGGAGGGACTCCTGGGTGGCTCCGTTGGTTAAGCGGCTGTCTTCGGCTCAGGTCATGATCCCAGGGTCCTGGGATCGAGTCCCGCATCTAGGTCCTTGCTCAGCAGGGAGCCTGCTTCTCCCTCTGCCTGCAGCTCCCCCTGCTTGTACTCTTGCTCACTCTCTCTCACCTATGCTCTCTCTCTCTCTAGCAACTAAATAAATAAAATCTTAAAAAAAAAAAAAAGAGTGTGAAGTCTGGAGCTAGCCTGGCTGAGTTCAAATCCCAGTTCTAGCACTTCCTAGCTGAATGAACTTGGATGGGTTATCTGACCTCATTTTCTTCATTTGTAGAATAAAGACTCGTAATATCTATCTTACAGTTTGTTACACAGAACAAAGTAAGTGAAATACTTCAAACAGTACTCAGCACATAGTAGAAGTTTGATAATCATTAGTCATTTTAATATGATAATTGCTTTATATAAATAAAAGGTACAATCCATAAAGACATAATAACATTTATGAATTGTTATATATAAAATTGTTTATTAACAAATACAAAGTAAGAATTGTTAGAAATAAAAATAAATAAATAAAAATAATTACAATGGATCAACACAGATGAGGTAGAATAAAATTTAAATAAAGATATGGAGAAAATGAATGAAATACTTAATAGGTAGTATAACTTAGTAGCTGATAGTTTGGCTTAGACCTGGATTTGAGTTGTAGCTCTGCCCTTACCAGCAATGGGACCTCTGAGCCTCAGGTTTTTCTTTTTTCAAATTTTTATTTAAATTCTAGTTAGTTAACATATAATGTAATATTGGTTTCAGGAGTAGAATTTAATGATTCATCACTTACATATAATACCCAATGCTCATCATAACAGGTGCCCTCCTTAATACCCATCACCTGTTTAGCCCATCCCCTACCCACCTTCCTTCTATCAACCCTCAGTTTGTTCTCTAACATTAATAGTCTCTTATGATTTGCTTCCCCCTCTCTCTCTTTTTCCCCCTCCCATATGTTCATCTGTTTTGTTTCTTAAATTTCATATATGACTGAAATCATATGGTTTTTGTCTTTCTCTGACTTACTTATTTCGCTTAGCATAATACACTCTAGCTCCATCCACATTGTTGCAAATGGCAAGATTTCATTCTTTTCGATGGCTGAGTAGTATTCCATTGTATATATATACCACACTTTCTTTATCCATTCATCAGTTGATGGACATTTGGGCTCTTTCCATAATTTGGCTATTGTTGATCATTCTGCTAGGAATATCAGGGTGCATGTACCTCTTTGAATCTGTATTTTTTATCCTTTGGGTAAATACCTAGTAAAGCAATTGCTGGATCATAGGGTAATTCTATTTTTAACTTTTTGTGGAACCTCCTCCATACTGTTTTCCAGAGTGGCTGCACCAGTTTGCATTCCCACCAATAGTATAAGAGGGTTCCCCTTTCTCCACATCCTCACCAACATTTGTTGTTTCCTGACTTGTTAATTTTAGCCATTCTGACAGGTGTGAGGTGATATCTCATTGTGCTTTTGATTTGTATTTCCCTGATGACAAGTGATGTGGGGCATTTTTTCATGTGTCTATTGGCCATCTGATGTCTTCTTTGGCAAAATGCCTGTTCATGTCTGCTGCCCATTTCTTAACTGGATTATTTGTTTTTTGGGTGTTGAGTTTGATAAGTTCTTTATAGATTCTGGATACTAACCCTTTATCAGATATTTGAAAATATCTTCTCCCATCCCATAGGCTGCCTTTTAGTTTTGTTGGTTGTTTCCTTTTCTATGCAGAAGCTTTTTATCTTGATGAAGTCCCAATAGTTCTTTTTTGCTTTTGTTTCCCTTGCCTCTGGCAACATGTCAGAAGTTGCTACAGCCAAGGTCAAAGAGGTTGCTGCCTGTGTTCTCTAGGATTTTGATGGATTCCTGTCTCACATTTAGGTCTTTCATCTGTTTTGAATTTATTTTTGTATATGGTGTAAGACAGTGGTCCACTTTCATTCTTCTGCATGTTGCTGTCCAGTTTTCCCAACACCATCTGTTGAAGGGACTGTCTTTTTTCCATTGGATATCCTTTCCTACTTTGTTGAAGTTGTGGGTCCATTTCTGGGTTTTCACTTCTGTTCCCTTGATCTATATGTCTGTTTTTATGCCAGCACCATACTGTCTTGATGACTACAGCTTTGTAATATAACTTGAAGTCTGGAATGGTGATGCCTCCTGCTTTACTTTTCTTTTTCAGGATTGCTTTGGCTATTCAGGGTCATTTGTTGTTCTATAAAATCTTAGGATTGTTTGTTCTAGCTCTGTGAAAATTGCTGATGGTATTTTGATAGGGATTGCATTGAATATATAGATTGTTTTGGGTAGTGTAGATATTTTAACAATGTTTGTTCTTCCACTCCATGAGCATGGAATGTTTTTCCATTTCTTTATGTCTTTTTCATTTTCTTTCATATGTGTTCTGTAGTTTTTAGAGTACAGATCTTTTACCTCTTTGGTTAGGTTTATTCCTAGTTATCTTGTTGTTTTTGGTGCAATTATAAATGGGATTGGTTCTTTATATTTCTTTCTGCTGCTTCATTATTAGCAAATAGAAATGCAACAGATTTCTGTATGTTGATTACACCTTGTGATTTTGCTGAATTCATGTATTAGTTCTAACAACTTTTTGGTGGAATCTTTTGGGTTTTCTACGTAGATATCATGCCATCTGCAAATAGTGAAAGTTTGACTTCTTCCTTGCTGATTTGGATGCCTTTTATTTCTTTTTGTTGTCTGATTGCTGAGGCTAGGACTTCCAGTACTATGTTAAATAGTAATAGTGAGAGTGGACATCCCTGTCTTATTCCTGATCATAGAGGAAAAGCTCTCAGTTTTTGAGGATGATATTAGCTGTGGGTCTTTGGTATATGTGAACCTCAGTATCTGTGTCAAGAATTATAGTCAGGTCCTTGTTTATCCAAAGCCAATTGTTTTAAAACCAGCCTCACATATGACAAGGTTGGAATCATAGATGGTGATATCCAGGTACAGCAGTGAGGCACATAAAGTATAAGGAGTATGGACAGCATGAATGTTTAGGAGAGGTGGAGGAACCAAAGCTATGGGTGATGGTAAATGTATGATGGGTGATGGGAGAGGAGGGAGAACGAAGCACTGAATTTTGAAAAAGTGAACAGCATGATTCTTAAATTCTCATCTGTTGTGTTTAGCTTTTCTGGTTTTCTTTTTACATTTTCTCAGACTTGGTATTTGATTTGGTTTGTTTTTAGAGCAATAAGCCCATTATGATCATGGAATTCTGGGTCGGCTGGTTTGACACATGGGGAGGTGAACATATGGTTGGTAATCCTGAGGGTAAGTGTTTTGCAGTGTTGAACCCCAAGTAGAGGTGGTCCTGAGTCATGGATCATTCATACATTTCTTTTCTAATTAATTAGCTCATTCAGCCATAACTATTCATTCAATACCTATATGTACTTGGCTAGGTTTGAGTGTATACTGATGAATAAAAATGACCTGGTTCCTACCCCCAGGGAGCTTGTTATTTAGTAGAGTTGACAGATAATTAAGAAGTAAATCAAGGGTTCCACATCTAACAAGTGCTTTGAAGCAAACAAACAGATGCAGTGACAGAAAAGACAGGGACAGGCCTGCAGAGGTGAGGCAAGGTGGTCATGGAAAGGGTCTTGGAAAGGCAACATCTCTGAAGAAGGGAATGCATTTGCTAAAAGTCTTAATAATCTCTGGTAAATGCACAGGCCACTGCTCTGGTGTTGTCAACTAAGTGGTAGTCATTGTCAGGAAACAACATGCAATGATGGTTGAAAGCATGGATCCTGCAGCCAAAGAGATCAGGATTTCAATCTCAGCTCTACTAGTCTGCATGACTAGCTGCATGATCCAAGACAGCTTTCCTTGTCTGCTAAGTCTCAGTGTCCTCATCGAAAACAGGAATTATCATGTAACCTACCTCATAGGGTTGTTGTGAGGATTAAATGCGGTAAACGATTCAGAACAGTGCCTGACAGATGTTGACTTAATAAAAGTATTTTGCTACTAAATATATTCTGCTGTCAATACTATGAAAATAAGCTCCCTTGTACCAGAAGTAAAGCAAACCAATGAAAAATACCGGGTAACTTAGGAAAGCCTGCTTGGGCTGAAACAAAACAAAACCCAACACCAACAAACAAGTTTTATCGCTTTTGTGTCAGGCACTATGGTATGTTTCTTATTTATATTCTTTCATCAGTCCTGTGAGGTAGTAGGAATTAGGACTTTCATTTAACAGATAAAGAAGCAGAGGCTCTGAGAGAAAAATAGGCCGTTCAAGTTAATGCAAGTAGTAAAGAGCACAGCCAGAATTGAATCCCATATATGACTACCTTTTAACAAACTCCCTATGATGGCAAGTGGAAAGTTGATCATACCTGTTAAAATCATGGTGAAAAAATAAGAGTTCCTCTGGCTAAAGATTGGGAACAGCTACTTGTGGACTATTGCAGTGGTTTTATATTACCCTAGAAGGGAGTAATGAGATTATACTAATTATTTGTATAATTTCAAAAAATTTAATGAACATTAGATATTTAAGTGACATAAGGGTTTTAGGCTATTATTTAATAGATATAACATGGAGCCAAAATTATGTCCATACTCTGGGGAAAATAATTTTAAAAAGGCTCTTGATATTGATAAGACTTGGTTTCCTGGAATAGTTTGGCCAATTCCACCTATTTTCTGGTTAGAATCTCAGTGGAGGTTGAAACACAAAACAGTTAAGTTGATCATGGGGTGGGGTTGAGAATAAGATTTCATCAGAGACTTCTGTCTTAATTTTTAATTTTCCCTGTGTTCTTGTCTTCCTCCTTTACAGATGTTGAGGAAACTGTGTCCAAATTTATCACATCAGAGATCTCCTTCAATGTATATATGTTCCACGGTGGAACCAACTTTGGTTTCATGAATGGGGCCACATATTTTGGGAGGCACAGAGCTGTTGTCACTAGCTATGGCAAGTGCTTGCTGGTATGGTCACCTTCCAGCATAAGTCGTACTGGAGCTTTACAGAGGAGGCTCCAAAAGCACGTTCTGAACATCATGGAATTCTTGACTTATAACCTATGCTGAGCATTCAGGATATTCCTATCTATTTTCCTTTCTTCTGTGATGTTCATAATGCCCCCAACAGGCTGTCATTGCAGTAGATGGGGTGCCTCAGACCTAGAGCCCTGCTTCACTCATCGTATATACTGACCCCTTGACTTGAACCTTCTAAGACACACAGAATACAAATGGTGGTTGCCAGCACTGATAGACATACCTAGGCAATCCAGATTGAGGGAAGAAAAGGGTGTACATTGGAAAGTAAAACAGAAGGATGAGTCCAGTGCTTGGCAGCCTCAGATCCCCAGGAAGGGCTGTGGGGAGTGTTCCCAGAGTGGCATAACACACCCTCCCCCCAACACACACACACACAGCTGGGATGCACTGGTCCAGGGGGTGGGGAAGATGTATCTTCTATCTCCCTCTGGTAGCCTTGGCCCATCTCATGCCAGCAGTGCTGAAACAGGGTCTGTTGTGGATGATTGCCTGGTCAGTGACAACACTCTGGTGTCTTGCAGACTATGATGCTGTGCTGACAGAGGCTGGGGATTACACAGAAAAATATTTCAAGCTTCGAAGACTCTTTAGATCTGTCTTAGGTACTCAGCAATCATTTTAATTTGAGGGATGGCTCTCCTCATGAAGTGGAAGGGTGAGGGAAGGGAAAGTTCCCCCATGGGCAAAAGCTTGGAGCCTTAAGGCCAAGGGCAACCTTAAGTTCAAATCCCAGTTTTCCCACTTAAAAGATGAGTGGCTTTGCTTGAGTGTTTCAAGCCCCTGAAGCCTATTTCTTCACTGAAATATGAAGACAATGATATTCATCTCCTATAATGACTGTGAAGATTAAGTATGTTACTATTTGTAGAGCTCTTAGTATGATGGCATGGAACCCTCACATACAATAGCAAAAGCCATCCTATTTAGTTTTATTTATTTAAATAAAGTTAATAATCTACTATGTGCTAGAAAGTGAGCATTGTCAGAGGCACAAGGCAGAGTTCTTGCTCCCTGAGAGCCCTCAGTCCATATGACCAACATTACTTTATAGCTATCCATGCATACAAAACTCGTTCCAATTTAGTTATTTCCAGTTTCTTATCACTCTTGGAGAAGTATACACATATGCTAGGATAGAACCCATTTCTCTTGTTGGCTCTGGGATATGAGAGTTCATGGGTAGGGATGGGGAAATTTGGAGAAGGCAGTAGTTATTTCAGGCACTTTTTGCCCCATGGCTTGTTTTCATTTCAGCGATGCCTCTGCCTGCTTTACCCAAGCTCATTCCCAAGGCTAAGTATCCTTCTGTGAAACCATCCCTTTACTTGCCACTGTGGGATGTCCTACAGTACTTAAATGAGGTGAGTATTATCTGGCACTGGAATGGGGGGTTGGCTATTGGGAGCATGGGGGAGAAGGCTTTAGGCCACAGAGTAGAGATTCCTTCAAGGACTTTTTATTGGGAAGGGTGAAAATAAATCTTTTAGATTTTGTCCAAATTTAGAACTATGGGGTAAGAACCACAAACTTTTTCCCTGGGTAGACTATAAAGGGGTTTGAACTTGAAGAATGAGTGGGGGTGGGGGAAAGCAGGATATTAGAGGATCCTCTTTCTCTGCTCAGATGAACCATCTGGTAGATGCTCTTAGGTGGGGCTGCATGATCCATATGGGAAAGACTGAGAGCCAGGAACCCATAAAACTGAGCTTCTGACTCTTCTTCACCATCAAATAGGCCAAATCACTGAACTTTTATATGTCCATATTCTCCCTTTAAAATTAGACTACCTGTTCTATTTTGAAGAAAAGGTGAAAATTGTTTGAAAAATGTTGACTCTTGAATTCATATTAGCTTCATCTCTGCTATCACTGTTTTATATAAATATAGTTATTGGCACATTGTAGATGCTAACTAAAGTTTGCTTTAGTGCATAATTCTTATTTGACTTCAGTTATGTTAAAATACAATTTATTCACTTCATTAATTCTCATGATTACAACAATTGTTCCCTCTACAATGCTCCTGTTATCCCCTGAGTTTCCTGGTCAGTGCAGATGATGCAATTATCATATAGCACTTGTTTTAGTATTTCTTATCCAAAGAACCGTTGGGGACCATTAGGAGGTACAACAAAAAATGACAAGGGCCTAAGGAAGAAGGATCCCAATTTCTCATCACCCTGGCTCATGTCTCTCTCATAGCCAGTTATATCTAATACACCAGTCAACATGGAGAACCTCCCTATAAACAGTGGAAATGGCCAGTCCTATGGATTCGTGCTTTATGAGACTTCCATCTGCTCTGGAGGTTCTCTCCACGCTAATGTTCAAGATACAGCACAGGTAGGTGTCAACAGGCTATCTATGAAGGTAAGCAGAACCTGAACCTGACTCTGTTATTGGGGAGAGTAGTCATTGGTCAACTTTACTATAGGTGGTATTTTCAAGCACCTACTATTTGTGAGGCTTTGGGAATATAAAGTCAAACCAAAGAGACTTGTTTTTGGCTTTATCACAACTTAAGCCTATGAGGTCCTCCCGTTCAGCTTCTAGCCATCTGTGATCACCAAGGCTAGTGTCTTCCTTCAAAATGACCTGCTTCCTAAACCAGAGCCTCTCTTCTTTCTTCAGGTGGGCCTGTAAGTCTGATGCTGGCTCTTCTTTTGCAGGTGTTTTTGAATGAGATAAGTTTAGGACTTCTGGATGATCATACTAAGGAGTTGAATATTCCTAAAATCAAGGTATGTGATTCAAGAGTCTGGGTGCTTCCCTAGACCTCTGACTCAAATGCAAGCATAGCCTGGTCCTGAGATAGACTACCTCCTTCCTCTGTTACTGCCCTTTGGTATTACTTCTCACTTGGGGTTCCATCAACAAGTACTTAGGGCTATAAACGTAACTGCATCTCCCAGGGCCAGGCGTAGCAGAGTTGCAACATACATGCTTCAGTGTAAATGGAACTTTAGGACCCATTAGGCCCTGAGTCAAACATCAGCCCCTGGTTGGGCCTCTGATCAAAGGTGCACAGCTGAGTCTCTCTGCCTTTCCTAAGGCAGACCAGCAAATGAAAGGGAAGATTGCATTTGGAACAGGAACACAAAGGGTCCTTATGAGAGAGGAGGACTGCTGCACTCTGGAGCCCCCTTTTCTCCCATTTGCTTGTCTTTCCATCTGGGACTCAGAGAAAAGAATGGGTTCTAGCGTAAAAACTCTGTGAGGCCATGTAGTCTCTGTGAACTGGTCTATCCCAAGCAGGAATGCCAACTTCCTTCTTTTTTCTTTCTTTTTTTTTTTCCTTTTTTTTTTTTTTTTTTTTTTAGGAATGTCGACTTCTAAGGATCCTGGTAGAGAATCAAGGACGAGTCAATTTTTCATGGAAAATTCAAGATCAGCGGAAAGGTAGAAAATAGGCTGTAATCTCTTTTTGTGGTTACTTGGATCCTAAGACTGGGGCAATGTGCAGTTGGGAGGAGAAAATGAGCCCCTTGAGCAGTGGGATACCTAGGTCCCAGGACCAAAGACTCCCTCTCCTTTGTCCTGCCTTCTTCAGGTCTCCTGGGTAGAAAAGCAGAACAGTTAGATTGGGCCCTGGCCTATTGTAGAGCAGGGTCCAGTCTCCCACTGGGAATTTCAGAGAAAGTTCTGATACTAAGTGGGAAGCTTTCTTAGTAATATGGAACCATACAACAGGAAACTTTTGGTCATAGCAGGTCAGACAACTGTTTGCCCTCCTGGCTGATTCCTTGTCACAGGCATATACAGTCAGCATTTCTTTATCCCAGACACTGGAGAATGTCCAGTCCCTGTCCATATTTTTTCCTACCCTCACCTGCAGGATTAACTGGATCAGTTACCATCAATAACGTTCCCCTAAATGGTTTTGTTATCTATTCTCTGGAAATGACAATGAGCTTCTTTGAAAGGTATGTTCCTCCTTACACCCAATAAGCACTTGGAAGGATCAGGGGGCTTACAGATGTCAAACTCTTTACTTTGCAGATTAAAAGCTAAGATTTGGAGAACTGAAATGATTTACCCAAGATTATAGAGTGCTTTGGGGTCAGGACTAGAACCCCAGAACAAGTCTTCTGACTCCTGATTTTAATGCTTCTAGTCTAATATATCTCCCTGGATCAGAATCCTAGTCCCTGGGTGGGGAAATCTAGGTGTTGGCACTAGAGTGGAGAAGGGGTCTTTTCTCTTCTTCAAGGCTCTGTTCTTCCTCCAGGCTCCGCTTTGCCACTTGGAGGCCTGTCCCAAAGAGCTATTTGGGCCCTGCCTTCTACCTTGGTACCTTGAAGGTTGACTCTTCACCCAAGGACACCTTCCTGAGTCTACTGGTAGGTGAGCTGCCCTCATCTGTTCTGGTGTCCCAACCACTTCTTCTTTTCAAAAGAGTTTTAAAGCAAAGCCATAGCGTTCCTGGCAGGAATGTCTCCCCATTTTCCTTCTTTTTCTCTTCCTCATTTCTAATAAGACTTCCAACATTTCTCAGTCTTCCTAATGTATCATTATTTAAAAAATAATAAATCAAAACACAATGGAAAACCTGAAATAATAAGATAGAGAGAGCAAATGATGGAGTTTCTCCTTCCAACACACCCTCCATTCCAATTCCTTTCTACTTTTCAGAACTAAACACTACCACACTACCCATGTCACTGGACCAAAGTGGCTGCTCCTTGCTGAGTTATAGACAGACTACACCAAATGGAGTTGCCTCACAAGTCATTTATTTATACAAACAAGGAGATTGTGGGGAATAATTTTCAAAGTTCTGTCTCCCTGAAGATGGGAAAGCAGACCCTTTTATTAGGGCTTGGGATGAATATTTAGAAGGGGATTTTAACATCATCATGAGGCTGAGGTCACTTCTGGCACTTTCTGGTTCATCTGCACAGATGTGGCCCTCAAATGTTTCTTTTTCTATTCTGGCAGTCCATTGGTTCCTTTTTTTTTTTATTCTTATGTTAATCCCCATACATTACATCATTAATTTTTGATGTAGCATTCCATGATTCGTTGTTTGTGCATAACACCCAGTGCTCCATGCAGAACATGCCCTCCTCAATACCCACCACCAGGCTAACCCATCCTCCCACCCCTCTCCCCTCTAGAACCCTCAGTTTGTTTTTCAGAGTCCATCGTCTCTCATGGTTTGTCTACCCCTCCGATTTCCCCCGCTTCACTCTTCCCCTCCCGCTACTCTCTTCTTCTTCTTCTTTTTTTTTTTTCTTAACATATATTGCATTATTTGTTTCAGAGGTACAGATCTGAGATTCAAAAGTCTTGCACAATTCACAGCGCTTACCATTGGTTCCTTTCTAAAAGGTAAAATCAACAGCTAGGCAGAAGCCTCTAGGAGTTTAGTTCCTAAAAGATAACATTGACAGGCAGAAGCTTCTACTAGAAATTTCCTGAATTCAGGGGGTTAGGCTGGTGACACCAACAGTTTGTGGGATTTCATATATAACTTTGCCTAAACATATACACAATTACTTTTTACACTAATGGGTTCACTCCCTAAATTATATTCTGCAACTTGCTTTTTAAAAATACTATACCTCGTATAGCTTTTTATATATAAACACACATAGTGACAAACATGCACATAATAAATGCACAATTCAATAAACTATCACAAAGTGAACACCATGTACTTCTTTTGAGATGAAAAAAATAAAATATTGTCAGCACCCCTCCCAATCACTGTCTCTCCTTGTCCCTAAAAGTGAAACATTATCTTGACTTCTAACACTCCAATTCAGTGCTTCCTCTTTTACTTCATGTAAATTGAATTGTATAGCATCTTTTTTCATGTGGCTTCTTTTTTGCTAAGATTCAACCATTAAGTGATGTTGTGGTGATTTATTCATTTTCACTATTGTATGGGGTTCCATTTCATAAAATACCATACTTTATTTAACCATCCTACTGCTGATAGACATTTGTATTATTTCCAGTGTTTGGCTATTATAAATATTAAGACTTCTTTTGTGTTTATGTTTGTGACTGAGACAGCTTTGTCATGTTTTGGTACCACGTTTTAAGACCCCCATAAATGATTTGGGAAGTAGAGTCTGTGTAAGCCTGGTATTACTTACGTGTTTGGTAGATTTTACTAGTGAAGCTATTTAGGGTTGGCTTTTTCTTTGTGGGAAAGTTTGTAAGTGTGGATTAAATTCCTTCAAAATTAAAGTACTAGTCAGATTTTGTTTCTTTAAAAGTTAATTTTAGGGGGGCGCCTGGGTAGCTCAGTCGGTAAAGCATCTGCCTTTAGCTCGGGTCATGATCCCAGGGTCCTGGGATTGAGCCCCATGTCTGGCCCCTGCTCAGCGGGGAGCCTGCTTCTCTCTCTCCCTCTGTCCCTCCCCCCCCCCGCTCGTTCTCTCTCAAATAAATAAATAAAATCTTAAAAAAAAAAAGTTAATTTTAGGGGCGCCTGGGTGGCTCAGTCGGTTAAGTGTCTGCCTTCGGCTCAGGTCATGTTCCTAAGGTCCTGGGATCGAGCGCTGCATCGGGCTCCCTGCTCAGCGGGGAGTCTGCTTCTCTCTCTCCCTCTGCCCCTCTCTCTCCCTCTGCCCCTCCCCCTGATTCGTGCTCTCTCTCTCAAATAAATAAATAAAATCTTTTAAAAAAAAGGTTAGTTTTAATAAAATTTATTTTTCTGGGAATTTTTCCATTTCCTTTGAATTTTCAATGTGTTATGTTTAAATTGTTCATTTTTAATGTTTAGGTCATCTGTAGTAATGTCTCTTTTTGTTTTGATAAGTTTCATCAGAACATTACCAAATTATTAATCTTTCAAAGAATCAATGGTTGGCTGTGACTTTTACCATATTATATAGTTTTTTTCTGTTTCATTTCTGCCATTTCTTTATTATTATTATTCATATTATTTTGTTTTTTTGTGAAATCCTGCACTATCTTTGCAAATTTTTTATAGATCTGAAACTATTTTAAAATAAAAATATATTAAACATTTTAGTATGTTTCTAATACATATTATTTTAATTGTTCAACTTTTTAAAAAAGATTTTGTTTATTTATTTGAGAGAGAGAGATAGAGCACAAGTCGGGAGGAGGGTCAGAGGAGAGCGAGAGGGAGAAGCAGAGTCTGCTGATCAGGGAGCCTGACATAGGGCTCAATCCCAGGACCCCAAGATCATGACCTGAGCCAAAGGCAGATGCTTAACTGAATGAGCCACCCAGGTGCCCCACAACTTTTAAATACTAATAATTTCCCCTATCATGTAGTCCTATTATTTTGCATTTTAAAGTTTTTTATTCAAGTATAATTAACATCATGTTATATTAGTTTCAGGTGTACAATATAGTGATTCAGCAATTGTATACATTGGTGCTCATCAATATAAGTGTACTCACAGTCTCTTTTATCTATTTCACCCATCCCTCTACCCACTTCCCTTCTGTCAACCACTAGTTTGTTCTCTGTATGTAAGAGTCTGTTTTTTCATTTGTCTCTTTTTTCATTTGTTCGTTTGTTTTGTTTCTTAAATTCCACATATGAGTGAAATCACATGGTATTTGTCTTTCTCTGTCTGACTTATTTCACATAGCACTTAGGTCCTCTAGGTCCATCCATATTGTTGCAAATGGCAAGGTTTCATTCTTTTTTGTGGTTGAGTAATATTCTATTGTGTGTGTATATATATATATACACACAAACACACACACACACACACCACATCTTCTTTATCCATTCATCTCTCCATGGACACTTGGGTTGCTTCCATATTTGCTAATATAAATAATGCTGTAATAAACAGAGGTACATATATCTTTTTATTTATTTATTTATTTTTTACATTTTTAAAATTTTATTATGTTAATCACCATACATTACATCATTAGTTTTTGATGTAGTGTTCCATGATTCATTGTTTGCATATAACACCCAGTGCTCCATTCAGTACATGCCCTCTTTAATACCCATCACCAGGCTAACCCATCCCCCCACCCCCCTCCCCTCTAGAACCCTCAGTTTGTTTCTCAGAGTCCATAGTCTCTCATGGTTCGTCTCCCCCTCTGATTCCCCCCCTTCATTTTTCCCTTCCTGCTATCTTTTTCTTTCTTTTTTTTTTTTTTTAACATATAATGTATTATTTGTTTCAGAGGTACATATATCTTTTTGAATTAATGTTTTTGTTTTCTTTGGGTATATACACAGTAGTGGAATTATTGGATCATATGGTAATCCTATTTTAAATTTTTGAGGAACCTCCATAATGTTTTCCACAGTAGCTGTGCCAGTTTGCATTCCCACCAACAGCGCATGAGGGTTCCATTTTCACATCCTTGCCAACACTTACTATATCTTGTTTGTTTATTTGATACTAGCCACTCTGAAGGTGTATTTTGTTTATTCTACTTTTTATCTTAGGAGTTATCTTCTTTCTTTTTGTAATTTCTTGAGATGGGTGCTTAGATAACTGACTTTTAGTCTTTACTCTTTTTAACATATGAATTTAGGTGATTTTTCATTTAACTATGAATTTGGTTGTATCCCATAAGTTTAAAACATTTATTGAGGTGAAATTTACATTAACATAAAATTAATCATTTTAAAGTGAACAATCCAGAGGTATTTGGTACATTTACAATGAATGCAACTCTTCCTTATATCTAGTTCCAAAACAGTTTTATAACTCTAACAGGAAACCCTGTACCCATTAAGCACTTACTTCCCATCTTCCCTTCCCCTCAGCCCCTGACAAACAATAATTTTCTTCCTGTGTCTATGGAATTGCCTATTCTGGATATATACTCCATGTTTTTATATGTTTTATTTTCATCACCAATCAATTCAAATATGTTACGAATTTCCTCATGATTTTTGCTTTGGCCTCTGTGTTATTTAGAAGTGTACATGTTTCTTATTTTCCAAATATTTGGATACTTTATAGTAATTTTTTTTGTTATCAATTTCTTGTTTGCACTGTGGTCTGAGAGCTTTAAAATATAACGTTTGTTTAGTCCAATATAGGATCAAAGTTATAAAGATTATTATGTATACTTGAAAGAATAGGTATATTCTGCATGTATTAGATCAATGTTCTATATATGTCAATGAGTTCAACTTTGTTAATTACCTTATTTTAAATGTTTTATGTCTTTAGTGAATCCTGTTTGCTTTATCTATTAGCTATTGAAACATTGTTTGAAAATTTTCCATTATGGTTTTAAATTTTATTTCTCCTGTTATTTCATCAATTTTGCTTATATATTCTGAATCTATACTTTAGCTTTTCTATATATCATTATCACTCAGAGTAGATTAAGAATTTTATTATCAGGAGATGGTTCCTCTTTATCTCTAATAGTGCTTCTTGCCTTAATGTCAAATTTTTCTGATATTAATAGAGCTATAGTAACTTCCTTTCGCTTAAGGTTTATCTATTTTATCTTTTTCTGTTATTCTTTTATTTTTACAATTCCTTTATATTTCAGAAAGTTTTCTTATAAATATCATATAACTGCTTTATTTAATGTCCAGCAATCTTTGTTTTTTAACTGGAGCATTTCAGAGGCTCCAATTTTATGTTAGAACCATTTTGTTATATCTCCTTTTGTCTCTTCCTGTCTTGTCTGTTTCTCATTCTTCTTTTCTCTGAGCTTAATTTTGAAAACTTTCTTTCCTATTATTCACTTTATTAATTCTATATTTAGCTATATTCTCTATTTAGTTGTATCTAGTCTGCTATTCAAAACATCTGTTAAATTATTAATTTTAATTATTACATTTTTTAATTTTAGAATTTTCATTCTCTAACTTTAGACTTTTTTATAGTTTCCATTTCTCTGTCAAAATTTTAGCTCTTGTCTTTGATCCCTAAGAGCATACTAATAGGCAATTCTTTTAAAGCCTGAGACTTATAAATCCATTATCTGCATCACCTGTGCATCTATTTTTATTGTCTGTTGTTCCTTGTATTTTTTTTTTATTATATTGTATTCCCCACCCCCATCTGCTTGATTTTTTTGAGTTCCAAAAATTATATATGAAAAATGCTAGAAATAACTTAAAGCCTAAGATGATGTCAGAGAATTTACATCCATCTCTGGAGTTGATTAAGTGCACTAGTAATCACCTTACTACAATTATGAGGATGGAAATGATTTGAATCAAGGCTTCTATACAATGGCCAGACTATTTCTAATTGACTCTTCTCCTTGGGTATAGGCCCTCAGGATCACAACCCACAATGTAAATTATTTAATAAGGTTCCTTGGTATTCAGTTTTTGTTCCCTAAGCTTGTGAAGCTATAAAATGTTCTGCTCAGCTTCTCAGCCATCTCTTCCCAAATAAGCAGATGCCTCTATTGGAAAAACTTTCTCAATGTCTTCTTGTCTCTCAGTTTTCTTTGCCTAGATCTTGGTCCTGTCACTCATCATTGTATTGCAAGCAGATTTTTAAAAATGTATAGCTTTTATAATGGTTCTTAGAATTAGCATTCATCTTTATTACCTAATACTTATCTCTGGAAACAGAACAACTGTTTTTAAAAAACCATAGCATTATATATCATGGGTCAGGAACAACAGTAGCATTAGCATTAAAGGTTTGGTTCATGTTTTTCTGTCATCCCTACACCAGCTACAGCTTAGTAGAGTTTCTAGAATATCCCATTCTAAACTCACTGCCACTTTCAGTGCCACAAAGCATTGAGTCTTGCTCTCACTCCCAAAAGTGCCTTAGGTTTTACCTTGCCAGTGTGAATCTGTTCCTATGTCTTAAGACTCCATTCCTTCCAGACCTGGAATTCTGGATTTGCATTCATCAATGGACGTAACCTTGGGCGATATTCAATTATTGGACCTCAGGAAACACTTTACCTTCCTGGTGCTTGGCTCCATCCAGAAGACAATGAGGTGAGTCATCCCTACCCCTGCTTTTATGTTTCATAAACGTTGAGATCTGCCTTCATCCCCAAAATTCAATTCAGTGTCGTTCTCATCCTATACTGAATAGGCTTACACTTTCTTACTGTCAGACTTTCTTTTCTCCCTAGATCATCCTGTTTGAGAAAAGGAAGAGTGGTTCATACATACAAACTACAAATGAACCCATGCTGTAAGACTGTGTTATAATACATTTCTAGGATTGTTAGAGTTCATCTACAAGCATTTTTTTTAGTAGGAAGATTTATGTTGAGAATATCAGTGTTGCCTACAATAGCAAAAATGTAAAAATAACCTAAAAAATAAAAAAGGAAATTGTTATGAATATTATAGTATATCCATATGATGCCTATTTTTAGGCTTTAAAAAGTCTTCAAAATATTTAATGACTGATTTACCTAAATGCCTAATCCTTAGCATATTCTCATTCTCTAATCAAATGTGCCTTTAGGCAGATATGAATAAAATAATAACAAATTTTATTTCTGACTCTTCATATTCAGTTGGAAGGGAGAAAAGAGACTCTGGCTTAAGAGAGAGTAAGGATTACTGCTCTCTCTATGCCAGAGAAAGTACCGTATATGCTGATTGGCAAATTCCTAGTGTGTGTGTGTGTGTGTGTGTGTGTGTGTGTGTGTGTAAAAGGGAGGGAATACAAGGTGCCATGAACAATGTCTTCAGACATTTACCTACAGTCTGCGTGTCTCCAAGGTGCCTTTATGGGTCATATGAATCAGAGAAGGTATAGCAATTTGGTTGCTTGTTTCTGACAGGTATGACAGCAAAGCCTGGCATGGAGCACTCTGTGTCTTACTATTCCTCAACTATCTGGATATAGTCAAGGCTCTTACTGATAGTGGACAAATATTAGTCAAATGAACTTCCTCAAATGACACCATTGGAAATGAATCACATTTTTATAATCAAATTATATCACATGACCTAAATTTGAACCATTGCACTATAACAAGATCTTATCACCTAGTTAGATATGGTGCCTAGGAGCTTCAACAAATTTAGCAAATAATCTGATGTCAAAAGGGAAGAAGGAAACTTCCTGCTTGGGATGAGGACTAAGGAGTCAGATGATCTTCTCTCCCACTAGTCTGAATGTTTGGCTCACTGAAGGAGAATTTTATCATGCACCCACACAATTTCTACATAAAACTTTATTCTCTGGGGCTATAACTCAAACCCATAAAATCTAGGGATAAACTATAGATCAAGGGAGAAAAACAGAAATAATAATCCTGAAGATCATATGTATGTATTATATTTCAGGTAATATATATGTTATTTTTAATCTTAGCAACAATGCAGCTTTTCCACTTTGTAGATGGAGAAACCAAGGTTCAAAGAGATGTTTGAATACATGTCTCTCTGATTTATATCTCTTCTTGTTATTATACCTCAGCTCCATACATGTGTCATTTTTTTATGAATGCAACAATACTATCCAGAAGATGTAATGTTGTTTTCAGTGTGCTTAGAGAAAAGGGCTCACAGCTTAGAACTCTTTACCCAGCAACACTGTCCTTCATGAAAAACAAAGCAAAAGAACACAAAATATAGACCTTACAGACAAACAAGGGCCAAAAGATTTTATATCATCAAAAGATCCATGTGCTAAAGGGAATTCTGAGGCAGCCTTTCTTAACTGAGATTCTGTAAGATAACACCTTACAGAAAATATTTACAGTGATTAGTTTCTTATTGTAATATTATAGATGCATACTAGGAAAGTTATTTCATTACAGACCATGGATGCCTTAGGGCATTACAGCTTAAGTCTCTCAGTAAACTTCAGTGGAGAAAAGATATCCTAAAGAACATATGTCAGCAGAAAGAAAATGACCCCATTAGTAAGGTCTGAGATTCAAGAAAAAATGCGAAACAAAGGAAGGATGTCGACGAATATGCAAATACATGTGAACAAACATTAATTCAATAAAAAAATATATTAATGTCTAATTTGAGGGCAAAATCTGTATAAAATTCTAAGACTGGGAGAAAATATCTATAGAAAGGGCTGTGATAGCAAAAAAAAAAGGGGGGGGATCTAAGCTTTCTATAATTCTCAGATATTAACTTTAGACTTTGTTGAATATGTATGTTAATAAATTTAGCTTAACTGTTTAATGTATATAATGCTTCTAACTTTTTGAAAGTTAGAAGAACCCCAAAAAACCTGAAGGGGACAAATAGAATGAGGAAAAAAAAAAAGCAACTAAAAAACTTAACCAATAAAAGGTAAAAAGGAGTAGACAATAAAGTAAAAAATAAGTACAAGTAGAAAACACATATTAAGATAATAGAAATAAATAAAAATAGGGGCACCTGGGTGGCTCAGTTGGTTAAGCGACTGCCTTCGGCTCGGGTCATGATCCTGGAGTCCCAGGATCGAGCCCCGCATCGGGCTCCCTGCTCGGCGGGGAGTCTGCTTCTCCCTCTGACCCTCCCCCCTCTCATGTGCTCTCTCTCATTAAAAAAAAAAAAAAAATATATATATATATATATATATATATAAATTTACCACAGTAAATTTTGTAAATGTACTAAACCCTCAGATTAAAAGTTAGAAGTTGTCAGACACAATAAAAAATGAAATACATAAGTTTTACAAGAGATACACCTTCAACATAGTACCCAACATGATAGAAAATTAAGATAAAAAACATACCATGCAGGACACCTGGGTGGCTCAGTCGGTTAAGCGTCTGCCTTCAGCTCAGGTCATGATCCCAGGATTTTGGAATCGAGTCCCCCATCAGGCTCCCTCCTCAGCAGGGAGTCTGCTTCTCCCTCTGCCTGTCCAACCCCCTGCTTGTGCACTCTCTGTTTCTCTTACTTGCTCTTACTCTCGCTCTCTCGCTCTCTCTGGCAAATAAATAATAAAATCTTTTTTAAAAAAAATACCATGCATGAATTAGCAGAAAGAAAAATTAAAATGATCCCATTTTCAACTACATCAAAAAGAATAAAATACCAAGAATAAATTTAACTAAGGAAGTGAAAACCCTATACTTTGAAAACTATAAGACATTGATGAAAGAAATTAAAGACAACACAAATAAATGGAAAAATATACCATACTCATGAATTGGAAGAATTAATATTGTCAGATATCCATATTACCCAAAGCAACCTACAAATTCAATGTAATCTTTATCAAAATACCAATAGTGTTTTTCACAGAACTAGAACAAAGAATCCTAAAATTTGTGTTGAACCACAAAAGACCCCAACTAGCTGAAGCAATCTTGAGAAAGAAGAACAAAGAGATATCACAATCCAAGATTTCAAACTATATTACAAAGCTATAGTAATCCAGTATGGAACTGGTACAAAAATAGACATATCGATCAATAGTACAAAATAGAGGGCCCAGAGGTAAACTCATGCCTATATGGTCAATTAGTTTACAACAAAGGTAACAAGAATATACAATGGGGAAAAAACAGTCTCTCTAATAAATGGTGTTGGAAACATTGGACAACTACAAGCAAAAGAATGAAACTGGACCACTTTCTTATATATATATAAGTAAACTTGAAATGGATTAACAACCTAAATGTCAGACCTGAAATCATAAAACTCCTAAAAGAAAACATAGGTTGTAAACTCTTGGAAATCAGCCTTAGCAATATTTTTCTAGATATGTCTCCCTAGGTGGGGGAAATAAAAGCAAACATAAACAACTGGGACTATACCAAACTAAAAACTTTTGCACAACGGAGGAAACCACCAAAAAGTGGAAAGGCAACCTACTGAATGGGAGAAAGTATTTGCAAATGATACAGCTGATAAAGGAGTTAATTTCCAAGATATATAAATAACTCATACAACTTAACACCAAAAACCCAAATGATCTGATTTAAAAATGGGCAGAGGACCATGAATAAACGTTTTTCCAAAGAAGACATACAGATATGGTCAACAGACACACGAAAAGATGCTCAATGTCACTAATCACAAGGGAAATGCAAATCAAAACCACAATGAGATATCACTTTACACCAGTCAGAATGGTTAGTATCAAAAAAATAAGAAATAACAAGTGTCAGCGAGGATGTGGATAAAAGGGAACATTTATGCATTGTTGGTGGGAAGGTAAATTTCTTGCAGCCACTATGGGAATCAGTATGGAGGTTTCTTAAAAAATGTAAAATAGAAATACCATATGATCCAGTAATTTCACTACTTGGTATTTACCTGAAAAAAACAAAAACACTAATTCAAAAAAATATGTGCACCTTTGTGTTTATTGCAGCATTACTTACGATAGCCAGGATATAGAAGCAGTTCAAATATCCATGGATAAATGAATGGATAAAGAAGTTCTGATATATATATATATATCACACATAGAAAAAGTATCTCTATATTCAAGTATTACTCAGCCATAAAAAGACTGAAATCTTGCCATTCATGACAATATGGATAGACCTAGAGGGTATGATGCTAAGTGAAGTAAGTCAAAGAAAGTCTAATACTGTGATTTTTCACTTATATGTGGAATCTAAAAAAACAAATGCACAAACAGAAACAGACTCATAAATACAGAGAACAAACTGATGGTTGCCAGAGGGGATGAGGGTATGGGGTGAGATAGATAAAGGGGATTAAGAGGTACAAATTTGGGGCTCCTAGGTGGCTCAGATCGTTAAGCATCTGCCTTCGGCTCAGGTCACGATCAGATCGAGCCCCACATCGGGCTCCTGGCTCAGCGGGGAGCCTGCTTCTCCCTCTCCCTCTGCCTCTCCCCCTGCTCATTCTCTCTCTCTCTCTCTGTATCTCTGTGTCTCAAATGAATAAATAAAATCTTTAAAAAAAAAGAAGTACAAACTTCCAGTTACAAAATAAATCATAGGGATGAAATTACAGCATAGGGAATATAGTCAATAATATTGCAATAACTTTGTATGGTGATGGATGGTAGCTACACTTATTGTAGTGAGCATTTTGTAATGTATATAATTGTTGAATCACTGTGTTGTCCACCTGAAACTAATATAAAATATGTCAATTATACCTCAATTAAAAATATAAATATATACATACCATGCAAATTCTTATAAAAAAAGCTGGAGTGACCATATTAATATCAGGCAAGTAGACTGAATGATAATAGGTGTTACTAGATATAGAGAATTACTGATAGGATAAAAGATTCAACTCATGAAAAGATATAATTCTAGAGTTGTATGTTCCTAAACATTTAGCCTCAATATATAAAGCAAATATTTCTTGTTCTATATATAGAAAAAGACAAATAGAAGTACTTTACATTTGAGAAAAGTTTTTGAAATTGAGATAT